TGCTGTGTTACGGCAGCTGTGTACAAATAATGGAGCTGTACACTGAAAGGGGAGCGAAAAGGAGGCTATGCTGAAGGTAAACACTTCAGTCTCTCTTTGGTAGTAACAAGTCATCATAGGGGCCTGAATTCAATGTTTGCAGCTTCTGAAGATCAAGCCAGTGAATCACAGTAGATTGATGGGATTGTGTGACTGTCCCAAAAAGCCAGATGACAACAAGGAAATGGGGTAGTTTTGGCCCTATTCTAACATACACCTTAAGCAGAGTCTGAATTTTATTTCTTCTAATATTCTGACTCAAACTTTCCTGAATTTCCAAGAAGGACTCTGCAGCAGACCTGAATCTGGCATATGGGTCTTTAAGCTGTAGATTAAAACCTTGTTAATATGCATTTTAAGCTGTCACAGTTGAGGTCAGAGTTAGAGGTGAGGTCTTGCTCAGTATTCACGTAGGCAGAAAGCTGGAACAGCTTATCTGAAATGTATTTTTAAAAAATAATTTATTTTTTTCTGGTGGAACTCAATCTGTTATTAATAAATTTAGCTTTATTTAGTTTAAAAAACCCAAAGTGTTCAACAGGACTAAATTGAAGGAGGAGCATATCTTGTCAGAGGTCTTGTACAAATTGATGAGACTAATTTTTTAAAACAAACATGAGCTAGTGATTTTGTGTTCAAATCTTTCACCCTTTCAGTAAAGAGGCCAGAAAACACTTTGTAACTTGCTTTTCTGCTTTTTGGTTGATTGGTTTGCTTTTGTTTGGTTTTTTTATTGCGTTGGGTTTGGGGTTTTTTTGTGATGGTGGTGGGGTTGTTCTTTTATTTGCTTGTTTTCTTGCTTTGGAGGTTGGTTTGTTTGTTTGTTTGAAGTGAATGAAGTAATGTGTCCTGGTGCAATGTAACCCAACTCTAGAACAGAGAATCATAGAATCATTAAGGTTGGAAAAGACCTTCAAGATCGTCAAGTCCGACCTACACATACATGATCACAATAATTTACTCAGTGCAGAGGTATTTGCAAAAAAAAAATTGTGTTTTAAACACCTGGAAACAATAACTTTTTTCTGTTGCTCATAAAGTCAGTGCTTTGCAGTTCAGTGTGTTGCGTTCGTTTGTGGACATAATATATATTTCTTGCCAAATGACCATGTAACAATGGAATGGCATTGTTTTTATTCCTCTTCCTTTGTTCCCTAGTGATACAGAGATAAAAGGTTTTGAAAGCTATTAGATAGTCTTAAGAGCATGTCAAAGTTTTAACGCTGGGCTGGCAATTAAATGAATGACAGATACTCTCTAAGAATTTCTCTCCCCCTGCAGGAAAAGAAAAGAGAATAGGGGAGAGAGACTTACAGGTCAGAAACTAAACTAAACAGCCTTAATGAAACAATAATGGTGACAAATAAAATAATGAAATATGTAGAATTATATACAAATCAAATATTGCCCGCCCCCAACCCCCCTGCAATAATACATGTTACCACCGAGGTTGCAAGGCTGGCCCTGTGAAGGTCCCAGCTCAGGCTTCTGGAGTCAGCAGCAGATGGGAGCTGGATACAGGAACTCATGGATTAGGGAATGCACTGATCAGGATCAAAGGCAGAAGAATGGACAGAATCCTCCCAGGATGCTAGCCACGGATAAAGAGAGCTTGACCGTTGTCATCCCTGAAATTTATACTGACTATGACGCATGTGGGAAGGAATACTTTGGTTGGTCACTTTTGGTCACCTGTCTGGTCTGCTGTCCTCCACAGGTGCCACCCCTTGTAACAATACACAAGAAGAAGAACCAGTGACCTTGGTTTCTACAGGAATAAGTAAAAACAAGAGCCTTTCTTCATACCACTCTATACAACTAACTACAAACATAGAGTGCTGTCAGTCCTATAAGCAGATACTGGCTGAAGATTATCCTGTTAATTTCAGAATGTGCAGACACTTAGGAGAGATTTAACTGTAAAATAAAATTACTAAAACCAAAATTGGTTCTGTCCTGGTCTACATCTGTCTCCTGTCTCTACATGTTTTTTACTATGAAAGTCTTTTAGTCTATGTGAGCAGCATGCTTATGGAGCAGTATGTATAAGATACAAACCCTCTGAACTCATGAAAGCTACTTGGTCCGTTTTTGCATAGTTCCCATGAAGAGGTAGTGCAAAAAAGGTTCCAACTCTTTTAGCTTAGCTCTGTATTTCAGACCTTCCAGACATGAGCTATTGCTCACTGACTTGTCTTCCACAAAGCTTGATTAGCCCTGTCTATTTCAGTACTTGTAGTGCTTTTACCATGCTAGGCTTGAGAGTCATTGGGAGGACAGATGACTTGCCAGGATGTCCTGTTCCTTGTTTGCTTACCCTTGTACGCTTCCTGCACTGCAACAGTCATGACTATTTGTAGACTTTACATAGTATTCCATTGGGAATATGCTTGCAAGGTAATTCAAAGATATAGCTAGTCACATGTTATATTGCTTTAAGTTTTTATACTGTGGTGAGTTTAATTATGTTAATGTTTAATGATGGGCTTGCTAGTGGGTCCCCTGGGTGTAGGGGCCCAGCATTTGTGGGGCAGCGTGCTAGCATTTTTGAGAATCAGAAGGCCTGCCACCCCTTAAGAGCAAAAACTAAGTGCTCAACTCCCTCTCTGAAGTGCTTATGCACCAGTGCATGTAGTGTGGGGAATAAGTAGGAGGAGTTGGAGATCTGTGTTCAGTCACAGGGCCATAATATCATTGCAATTACTGAGACATGGTGGAATAGCTTCCATGACTGGAATGTTGTCATGGACGGCTATGTACACTTCAAGAAAGATAAACCAACAACGCAAGGCAGTGGAGTTGATCTTTACATGCAAGAGCAAGCGGAATGCATTGAGCTCTACCCAGAGAAGGATGAAGAATATGTTGAAAGCTTCTCAGTAAGAATTAAGGGGCACACAAGTATGGGAGAAACTGTTTTGAGTGTCTACTATAGACCAAAAAGCCAGAAAGAAGAGGTTAATGAGGCCTATTACAGACAGCTGGAAGTAGCCTCTAGATCACATGCCCTAGTGCTCATGGGTAACATCAATCACCCTGATAGATGTTGGAAAGCCCACACAACCAGGCGTATTCAGTCCAGAAGGCTCTTGCAGTGCATCAGTAATGGCTTCCTGATGCAGGTGGTGGGAGAGCCATCGAGGAGACTGCTGTACCTTGTGTTAACAAACAAAGAAGATCTGTGCGAGCACATGAAGGTTGGGGGCAGCCTTGGTGACAATGATCACGACATGGAAGAGTTTAGTATCAGCGGGAAGAAGCAGGGCAATAAGTAGGATTGCAGCCCTAGACTTCAGGAGGGCTAACTTGGTCCTCTTCAAAGATCTTGGAGGAATCCAATGGGCTAAGACTAGAAGGTAGGGGCACCCAAGAGAACTGGTTAGTATTCAAACATTGCTTCCTCCAAGCTCAAGATAGGTGCATTCCTTTGACTAAAAAATCAGATGAGGAACGAGACCCGCATGGATGAACAAAAGTCACGTGGAAGAAAGAAGGTCACAGGATGTGGAAAAAGGGACTGGTTACTTGGGAGAACTACAGGAACCTTGTCAGGGTGTGTAGGAATGGAACAAGGAAGGTCAAAGCCCTCTTAGAATTAAATCAGGCAAAGGAAGTAAAAGAGAACAAGAAGGGCTTCTTCAAATACATCGGTGTTCAGACTGGGGAAAATGTGGGCTCACTGCTGAATGAGGTGGGAGCCTTGGTAACAGAGGATACAGAGAAGGCAAAGTTACTGAATAACTTATTTGCTTCATTCTTTACTCATAAGACCAGCCCTCAGGAATCCGAGACCCTGGAAATAAGAGAGAAGGCCTGGAGCAGGGAAAACTCTCCACTAGTCAATGAGGATTGGGTTAGTGATCAGTTGGGCAAACTGAACAGGCACAAATCCATGGACCCAAATAGGATGCACCCATGAGTGCTGAGAGAGCTGGCTGATGTTTCTCTACCACTCCATCATTTTTGAAAGCTCATGAAGAACAGGAGAGATGCCTAAGGACTGGAGGAAAGCCAGGGTCACTCCAATCTTCAAAAAGAGCAAGAAGGAAGACCCAGGAAACTATAGACCAGTCAACCTCACTTCCATCCCTGGAAAAGTGCTGGAGCAGCTCATTCTGGAGGTCATCTCCAAGCATATGGAAGAAAAAGAAACACAGAATCACAGAATCGTAGGTGTTGGAAGGGACCTCTGGAGATAATCTAGTCCAACCACCCTGCTGGAGCAGGATCCCCTAGAGCAGATTACACAGGAACATGTCCAGGTGGGTTTTTAATTTCTCCAGGGATGGAGATTCCACAACCTCCCTGGGCAGCTTGTTCCAGTGCTCTGTTATCCTCTGAGTAACTAAGTATTTTCTTAGGTTAAATCTCCTGTTTAGCAGTTTGTGACTCTTGCCCCTTGTTCTGTCACTGAACACCACTGAGAAGAGTCTGACCCCATCCTCCTGGCACCTGCCCTTTAGTTATTTATAAGCATGAATGAGATCCCCCATCAGCTTCCTTTTCTCTAAGGTAAACAGACCCAGCTCCCTGTCTTTCTTCATGCTGTAGATGCTCCAGTCTCTTAGTCATTTTAGTGTCCCTGTACTGGACTGTGTTCCTTGTGCTTCTTGAGCTGGGGAGCCCAAAAACACATACAGTATTCCAGGCTAGGTCTCACCAGAACAGTGTAGAAGGGAAGGATAACTTCCCTTAACCTGCTGGGCATGCTCTTCCTATTGCACTTCAAGTTGCCATTGGCCTTCTTGGCTGCAAGGGCACATTGTTGGCTCATGGTCAGCCTGTTGTCCACCAGGACCCTGAGGTCCTTTTCTCCAGAGCTGCTCTTCAGCAGGTCAACTCCTAACCTGTAGTAGTGCATGGGGTTGTTCTTCCCCACATGGAGTACTCTACACTTGCCCTTATTGAACTTCATTAGGTTTCTCCCTGCCCAGCCCTCCAACCTGTTCAGGTCACACTGGATGGCCGCACAGCCTTCTGGCTGGTCAGCCAATCCACCTGGTTTTGAATCATCAGCAAATTTGCTGAAGGTACATTCTATCCCTTCATCTAGATCATCAATTAATATATTGAACAGGACTGGACCCAGTACTGACCCCTGAGGGACACCACTAGTCAAAGGCCTCCAGCTGGACTCAGCTCTGATGACCACAACTCTTTGAGCTCTGTCCCTTAGCAAGTTCCCAATCCATCTCACTACTCAGTTGTCCAGTCCACACTTCTCAAGTTTGGTTGTGAGGATTCCATGGGAGACTGTGTTGAAAGCCATACTGAGGTCAAGGTAGACCATGTCAACTGCCCTCCCCTTGTCTGTCCATCCAGTTATGCCATCATAAAAGGCTATCAGGTTGGTCAAGCTTGACTTCCCCTTGGTGAGTCCATGCTGACTGCTCCTGATAATCCGCTTCTCCTCAACATGCTTTGGATGGTGTGGAGAATAAGCTGTTCCATCACCTTTCCAGGGATGGAGGTAAGGCTGACTGGCCTGTAGTTACTCAGGTTCTCTTTTCTTGCCTTTTTTTAAGACTGGGGTTTCACCGTCTTTCCTCCAGTCCTCAGGCACTTCTATTCTCCAGGGCTTTTCAAGGGTGATGGAGATCAGACTAGCAATGAGTTTTGCCAGCTCCCTGAGCACCTGCAGGTGGCATTCCATCAGGCTTCAGAGATTTGTGAATGTTCGGTTTACTTAATTGATCCCTAACCCAATCCTCTTCAACCAAGCCAAAGTCTTCCTTTTGCTGGACTTCCTCTTTGGTCTCTGTGGCATGGGACTCTTGAGGGTCAGCCTTAGCAGTGAAGACAGAGGCAAAGAAGGTATTCAGTAACTGCACCTGGAAAGGAATAACACCATGCACCAGAATAGATTAGGGGTTGACCTGCTAGACTGCAGCTCCATGGAGAAAGACCTGGGTGTCCTGGTGAACTAGCAGTGTGCCCTTGTGGCCAAGAAGGCCAATGGTATCTTGGGGTGCATTAAGAAAAGCCTGTCCAGCAGGTCGAGGGAAGTTCTCCTCCCCCTCTTCTCTGCCCTAGTGAGACCCCACCTGGAGTACTCTGTCCAGTTCTGGGCTTCCCAGTTCAAGAGGGAGGATTTACTTGAGAGAATGCAATGGCAGGCTACTAGGATGATTAAGGGACTGGAACACCTGTGTTATGAGGAAAGGCTGAGAGACCTGGGGCTGTTTAGTCTGGAGAAAGACTTAGAGGGAATCTTGTTAATGTTTACAAATACCTGAAGGGTGAGTGTCAAGAAGGAGGTGCCTGGCTCTTTTCAATGGTGCCCTGCGATAGGACAAGAGGCAACAGACACAAACTGTAACAAAGGAAGTTCCACCTCAAGATGAGGTAAAACTTTAAGAGTTATAGAGGACTGGAACAAGCTGCCCAGAGAGGTTGTAGAGTCTCCTTTTCTAGATGCTTTCAAGACCCATCTGTATGTGTTTCTGTGTGACCTCCTCTGGTCTGGCAGGGGCGTTGGACTTAATGATCTCCAAGGGTCCCTTCCAACCTCTACCGTTCTTTGATTCTATGATTCTAAACAAAGGTTGATGTTTTGGAAAAACAGCTCAGCTTTGGCAGAAACTGAAGGCCATAATTTGTGGAGCTGGGGCCTCAGTGTATGACATAATGTATTTATAGATGCCTTAGGCAGCCCATGAATATCTAAGATTTTTTTATTTTCTCTCTTTGTGATACTGTTTTTTGTTTTTCTTTTCCCTAGATAAGCAACGTCTTGTTTTTTGTTTTACCACCCATATGTATGTGCTTATTCCGTCAATATGCAACCTGCTTCAACAGTGGAATATATTTAATATGGACTTTGCTGGTTGTGGTTGGTAAGTTGGTTAGTCTCTATTTTCCTGTTCATGCATGAACTGAGAGAGGAAATAAGATTTTCCTGCTAGCCCTTTGGTTATTTTGTAAAACACGTTTGCTTGTACTTGCTTTAAACTGAAGCAGACATAGTTTCTGAAAGGAGAATGGCTTTTGTGGCTGGTGGAAACTTTAGCCTTAGTTCTGTTCCCTTCCTGTCCTTCCTTTACATAAGGTCTTTTGTTTATGTCTGGGTTTACTCTACAGCAGGGCTGACCCTCCTTCCTCTATTGTTGCTACTGAAATGAGAGCTGAGAGTGCACAGCACAGCTGGACAGGATAAGGATAACAGGTTTTGCATTGTAGTGGGGAAACCCGAGGGAGTAGCCATTTTGTAGATTTGTGATTCTTCAGCTTTTTCATTCCTGTGAGGACTGGGAACTTTTAAATGGGTGTTCAGAGCCCTTGTGGGACAGTGAGACACTTTCCACCTATAAACCTGTATCACGGAGTAGTCATCAGATGCTGCTTTCCATCTTTGTCTTACCCACTCTTGTGCTGTTGAGAAAATTCAGAAGTAGCATTTGACTTTTATTTCTTTTGCATTTCAATTGGTTTAACTTGATGTTTTTTTACATACTTCTACTTTTCTGGTGGGAGCTGGCATCTTTAACTGCTGCTTTTATAAATGAGGTGCTGACATTTCGGATTATCTTCTTAGGAAAGGTGCTGCTTGTTTTTTCATTTTTTATTTTTCTTAACCTTTTCTAGACCAAACGGTACCTAACATTTGTTGTGAAGTTCTGAACATGAGCAGTGTGTTCTAGTCTATATAGTACTGCAACTATTCATACTGCCTTTTGGTTAATTCTTCCAGGAATTGGATCTGTTTACTTTCACGCCACCCTCAGTTTCCTGGGCCAGATGCTGGATGAGCTGGCTGTTCTCTGGGTCCTGATGTGTGCCCTTGCCATGTGGTTCCCTAGGAGATACCTGCCTAGAGTTTTTCGGAATGACAGGTGATGACACAATCATACACATACACTTTCGTATTTCTTAAAACATTTTATGGTAGCACCTAAACTTGCATGTGGTGGCACTGAGGGATCATCCAACCTTACAACTGCTGTATTTTCTCACTTCACTCTCTTCCTGTCACTTGTATCTCAGCCCATTTTGTTCAGAATTCCCAAGTCTGGAGTAGCTGATGGTGGGGTTTACACCCTGTAATTTAAGATGGTGGGATGGGGTGACTTGCCTCTGGAAGCACCTGTTCTTGTTGATTCTAGGAAGACCTTTACATGGGTAGTTTATGTTAGTAGCAGCTAAAGTAAAGTAAGAGAAACCCTCTTTCCCTCTTCCTTTTTTGTATCCTAAAGGTGGGGGAAGGGAAGAGACGGTTCGTGCCTAGATTGACCATTCCTCAAAATAGCTTGCACTGGGAAAAGTGTATCTTGCATTACAGTGTACAGTGTATGCAGTCTAATGGCTTTGTCACATAACTGTGAATTTAGTAGTTCTGCATGTTGCAATAGTGCTATTAGAGGAAATCATCAACTTAACAAGGAGACAGAGGTTTTACTGAAGTGTTTTGGTTGATGGCATGATGGCATGATTTTTAGACGTTAGACAAGTAATTTAGAGTTACGAGTGCTGGAGAACTTCTGTGACTCCATGTAAATTATTCCTCAAAATCCTAGGGGAATCATTATGTGTTATCTAGCACTGTCTTCAAGTGAAGCTGGGTAGCTGCACAGTATGGGCCAGGAGGTTAAACTATATCCTCTTTAAAAGGAATAGAAACACTTTTTGGGTGAAATCCTGTTTTTATTGAACTTGGTGCTAAAAGTGTAAATAATAATCTCCCAGGTTATAACTGAATCATGGAAATACTGAGATGAAGTGAAGGATGTCTCCTACCCTAAATTTCTTGAACGCTTTTTCCTGAGAGTCTGTTAAGGCAGTTACATATTAAGGCCTTGATTCCTTTCTGAAGTGTACAGAGGAAAGGCATACCAGGCAATAAACTCTTTGCCTAGCTAAACTTCTAATATTTCATCTGTCCTGTGCTCACTGCTTTCATCTTCATCCTCATCCCACTCTGAATTTCCAATGCTGTAAATGTTATTATCTACCATGACCCATTTGTGGTGTCTTTAGGCATTATCGCATTCAAGTCAGATCAGAACTTCCTACTTAAGTAACTTCTTGTCTTCCAGCAGGAAGAAAAACTTAAAAGCGAAAGGCAGAGGGAATGAAGTGAAAGTGGTGACACGTGTGGCCAGGAAATAGTGTCGCACAAGGATACTGAGACCCTACTTCAGACATAAAGTTAAGGACACAAGAGCTGTCCTTGGAGAGCAACTGTTTTTTAAAGCTGTGGGCCCCTAGGTGAAGGGCAGCGTGATGATCCTCTGTCTAGTCTAGTCCTGCCACAGACTGGAAATGGGTTGTTTCAAGTCCGGACTTGAAAGTTTAAACAACAGTTAACAGATACTCAAATAAAAAGTTGGCAAGCTGTCTATAAAGGGCCCAATTGTGATTTCACTTATGCTAAGAATATACCAAACTGTAATCTTTAAAAAGTGATGGAATCCCATACCTACTGTTGAATTTGGTTAAAATAAATGGTTTACTTACCTTAAAGTTCTCAGTATCTTTAAGGCTTAAAAGAGATAAGAGAATATAGAACAGACTGTAACATGACTGTAGAACTTGGGACATTAACGATAACAAGATTTCCTAAAAATCCATGTTAAAAAAAGCATGACGAACAATGACACGACACTGCTTTGAAGAAGTAGAGTGCTATGTGCAGAGATGGACTTGACTTATTGTGGGAGAAGGAAGATCAGAGGGTGGCCTTTCGATTTTGAAACCAGTGATTAGTGGCTGTGTGCACATATGTATGTGTACCCAGAATACCACAGTCCAGCAATGATTTGTATATACAATTAACTTTGCAGGCACATGCAAATCTGTGCAAGATCCACATCCATTTAATGCACATTGTCATTGCACTTCCTGAACACACCTAGAGAAACATAAGTTTTGTTACACTATTAAAATAATTTCAATATTTCTGGCTTTAGTAGTTAAATGTTTTGAATTAAAAGTAGTTTTTCTCCCCCCAAAAATCCTCTTCAGGAGCCGTTTTAAAGCTGCTGTGGCTGTTCTTTCTGGAGTTACTACCTGCCTTGCCTTCATTAAGCCTGCCATCAACAACATCTCACTGATGACTCTGGGTGTTCCCTGCACAGCTTTGCTCGTTGCAGAGTTGAAGAGGTGAGTACATTTCTCCTGAATGCAGCATTGCTTTCTGAGATCCTCAGCCCACTGTATGCTGATACACTAGGTCTGACTTTCAGTGCTTGTGGTAGCAGATCGGAAATACTTTTCCCACATGCAAGCACAGATCTGATACAAACTTGTTTTGCCAGTTTAGTAATTTTTGACAAGGATTTATTTTTTTTTTCTTAGGCTTGTGTTCTTGGTCAGATATTGTCTGTCTTCTTGCAACATATTTTTTGCTGCAAGCTGATGTAACTTCAGTTTGTTTGTTTATTGTGGAGTCAGGGCAAGGATTTCATGCTACTGACAGCATTCAAAGTCTGCATGAGGGTGAGGTGATTGCATGATCACAGTCTGGATACTAGGAATGCAAAGCAAGGCCCAAGCATGTGTGGAAGATGTTTCAGTTCTCAAGAGTACAGTGACTCTTACACCACTTTGTCATCAGACATGAGTGGTATAATGGAGTCAGACTGACAGATGAGGTTAATCACTAAGTTGTTCACTAGGTTGTAAAGGATAGCTGTCAGGATGCAAATAGAATGCACACAGAGAAGAATCTGAAACTGATCTTAACATTTTAAACAGCCTTGCCAGAGTAGCAATAACAGCTGCTGTTCAGAGGCTTCTTCTTTTTTTTTCTTTTTTTTTTCTTTTTTAAAAATCTTTTCGCTTGCTGCAGAAGGACAAGACAAGTAGAGGAGCTTGTCATTTGCCTCTCTTCTGTAATATCTGAGAAGGATTTTACAACTTATCTTGGCTGTTACATACTGCACATGCAGATGTCCATCAAAAGAATCAAGAGTAGGACCAAATGTCTGCATTCTGACATCTCCTGTTACAACAGAGATTCTCCCCTTTGCTACTTTACCCTATTTTGCTGCTGTTTCTTTATACAGTGGGAGATGCTGGTAACAATGTTTTGTTAAGGTGTTTGCTTTTCTCATTAGATATCCTGCTGAGCAGTTTTTATTTCTGTGGTCAAAGAAACCTGAGAAATATTTACAAGTTGGTTGTAGACAAGAAAGTCACTATTTGAAGAATGTTGGTGGAGGTGTCTCATTCTGGTGAGAGCACCAAGGAGCTACTGACAGGGCAAATAGAGATCTGGTTGTGGCTCTGAATAATTTATGTGAACTCTCTACATACCAGTTCTCCAGGAATGAACTCCCGAGAAACTTAAAAGGATAGTGTCTCGTAAGTCTGAGTGCTGCTGCATCAAATCTAGCAATTGGTATGTCTACAGATACTTACTTTTTAAAAATCTTTCTGAAAGGTCATAGCTTACTATGCATGGAGTTTCCCTGTCTGTTTTTTTTGAGAGAATTCAGAACACAAATAAACCTTCTTTTGAATTGGTAATTAAAGACAGACCTGAAATGACACATGGCCTTCTTAATTGCACATTGGCATGATGTAATACCTACGTTATTTTGTGATGAATTCCTAAGTGTAAAGGCAAATAATTAAAAGTTTTATTTTAAGCTATGCTGATCCCTAGGAGATTTAGATGGGAGATACTCTTGTAAACTCAGAGGAGTCATGTCATCCTTTTTTGCAGGAGAAAAATAATCTAAACATAATTTAAAATGCCTGCAATTCTCCCATTCCCTACTACTACAATCAGTAAAGGGCTGCAGGTCCAGATCCTGCCATTCTGAAGCAGAAATTCATCTGTAAAACAAGTATTTGGGGAAGGAAGCAGAAAGGCCTCATAGTAGTTTGCTTCTCTTCTGGACTTAAATTTGTGATGCATTAGACCAAAGCTCCCTGTTAGTCCTGTTGTAGGTTGGTGTCAATCTTGTACAGAATTCTGATTAATTAGAACCACTGTGTTTTCAAATGAGAATTTTCTGCCTTTTGTTTGCTCTTGATGTGGAGATAATATTGTCACAAAAGAGCATTATGTTCTTAAATATGGAACTGGTAGGGTAGAGTGTATGATATGAACTATTGTGTGTGGCAGATACCAAAAGAGCAACAGGTAGATAAGTGCATACCTGTCCTTGAAATAAAAAGAAATTATAAAACTTTATTCTCATTTCTGTCCAAACAAACCCCTTCAAGTGTTTAATAAAAATAAAATTTAAAAAAGCTTTCCTAGGGATGGTATCAGAGAGGAAGTAGATGTGGATCCTTTGGTTTGCTCATCCAAGTGAAATACCCATCAAGATTATAGTATCATCAAATTAGTATGATTTAGTGATTGTCAGGCTTGTGTCTATCTCCAGGTGCACATAGATTCTAGAACATTGTTGCTTACCTGACATTTGAGCCTTGAGCAGGAAAGGTTTACCCCTAGCTTCAGGTCTGTCCATAGTTTACTCTTCTATTAGAAATCTGTCTGTGAGGGAGCTTGCAGACAGATACGGGCAATAGATGCAGGTGGAAATGCAGGCTTTGTGGGGTACAGTTTCCTTCAGGCTAGAACAGGGTAGCCACTATTTCTGTGGCTGATTTTGCATTAAGAGTTTCTTCAAGTGAGCTTTCAGTTTTGCTTTGCAGTCTTAAACTCCTTGAACCATGCAGTTTTGATTGTCCTCTCCTCTTGGTATTCAGACTAGTCAGATATTGACACACATGGTCACAGACTAAAACAGCTGGATGTTTGAGGCTGAGCCTCTTATCTTAAATTGGATGCAGTTGCATTTGTTGGTGTACGTCCTTCAGACAGGTCCAGAGAAGTTTCTGTGTACTCAGTGCACACACACTTTGCTCTGTCAGAATGCATGAGTGCCCATTGCAGCAGTCTAGTTTCACCTGTCAAATGTACAAAATTGATCCATGCATGTATCCACTGTGGAATGTGGTTGACTGTCTTGTTTTTATGAATAGTTGTGTGTCTCTCTGAAGACTGTAAACCTGCCTTAGCATTAATGGGAGAGAATTAGGCCTGGTATGCTTAGTACAGAAGGTTTTTTTGATCAGTTACAATTTTCCCTCTTCTTTTATGAAGGGATCCATGCTTTCTAGCCATTTGGTAGAAGGATGAATCCTGCAAAATGAGCAGTATTTACCAGTATAGTTCTGCTGATAAAACTGCCAAACCTTGGATGTATTTCTTACTGGGGTGTCTTGTAAGAGAGTGTAAGGAAGAATTTTTGTAGTTGTGCTTTGGAGCTCAAGAGACAACTCAGAAATATCCTTCCCCTTCCTCATGCTCCTTGTTGCCTTTTTAGAAGTAAAGACATTATTTCAGCAGAGCAAGCCTTTTTCAACATATACAGCACAGACAATTCTGAAGCCATTTTAGGCAAGCCTTGTGTCCTCTTGGCTGCCTTGGCGGTTTATCAAATGGATTGGAGAATTCAGGCCTAAGAAAAAAGCCATTTTGATTTATGTGTGAAGTGTTAATTTTTGTGACAGTCATGAAGATATTTTTGTTATGAGAACTATTTTTGTGATATCATTCTTGTGGGGCATATTAAAGTTTACCTGTTAGTTCAAGCACTTTTTTGAAAAATAAAGATAAATGTGATAATGTTGAACATGACATTATTTATAGTGGCTTAAAAAAGAAATGCCAGATCCTAAAACGAATTTATGCAAAGGACATTGGAGAAAATCCTCTGTCAACAGGATTAGACAGTTGGTAGCTTTTCTGCCATTAATCCAGTAGCTATAAAGGTGCCTTCTGCTCAGCTTTAGGACTTCATTAATCCCAAACATCTATTAAAATGTCAACTGAAAAAGCATTTCAGGAGTGAAAAAAGTATTATACAGGAAAACACTGTACTAATTCTTTAGCTTGAAATACACCACAGCCAGGTATACAGCTGCTCCTGCAATACATTCAGAAAAGTGTTCCTGCACAGAACGCTGTGTTATGTGTTTAATTTTTCTGAATGCTTAGCTAGAGCTCCCTGAGCAAAGCTGCAGTACCCGCGACAGTTTTGCTTTTCCACCAAAGGGAGGCAGGAGTCGTTCTGTGCCCCATCCTCCTCCGGCTGGGTGGTTGGGGACCATCTCACACATAGGGAAGGGTGTAGCGACACCTGGGGACAGAGCTGGCATGACTGCTTCCCTGACAGTGAATGCAGGTTAGTCTGTGGCTTATAGGCCTTGTGCAGACAATTAGAGGGGAATGTTGGAAAAATTAGAACTCTGTAAATGTATCAAATGAGAACAGTAGGTTTTAGGCCGACAAGTACTTTGTGTGAAAGACAGAGGATCACAGAGCTTTCTGATCTGTGCTGCACTGTGTTAGTCAGTTGTCAGAGACAGGAATGTACAGAGAATATCTGTAGAGAAGGGACCATAAATACTACTGCAGTGCACACAGTAAAGAACTGCTTGCCTATTCTAGCTCCCTACTCCAGGGATACACATTTTAATTACTTCTGAGTGTCACAAAATGAAAAATCTGTTTAAAGAACCTGTTTGCCAGGCATTGCTCACCTTCCAGATGCTGTGAATGAGTCCTAGAACTGTGTGGAAGAAGACCGGTAATTCAGTGTCAAGTCTACTGGGGGAACTGGATTGGAGCAGAGAGAAAGGCTGGCTGATGACCTACTGGGGAGGAAGAGGCATAGAGACATTCCCAATACCTTTTGGCAGAGGTGTAAGACGTAGATTACAGGAGCACCTCATTAAGATTGGCTAGAGATTGGGCATTTTGGTTGTTCTGACAAGTCACTTTAAACAAATTATTCTGCCATCTGAATAGTAGGTTTGGGAGTGCTTTACGAGGTCATATAAGTGACTTGGGAAGAATAATTAATTGAAGAAAGAATTGTACAAGAGCACTGAATGGTTCTTAGATCTCTGGGAAACAGCAAGAACAAAAAAAGGCAGGGAGGGAAATCCCACATCATAGCTTTGTTCTTGCAGGAGGCTGGGGAGCTGAGCCCTTGGCCTCATAGGTCTCCTCACATCTCAGCGTAGCAATGCTTTATAGATAATCAGTAAGAGCAGAGGTGTATCTACTGGCACCAAGAGGCCTACCCCGAAATAGTAGATGTATGAAGACAGCAAGTGATTGTCTTTAATAGCATTTTGGGACCTGAAGATTATATTTATGGCTCCTTTTTCCTGATTCTACTCTGTTGAGCAAAGCTGCACAATTTTTAGAATAGTTTCAAGATGTGGAATAGAACAAAGCATCATAGAGGGATGTAAAATTGTGAGCTTTTGAGTACATGTGCAACACAGATAATGCTATGCGAGTATCTTGGTATCTGCTGTGGCATTTGGTGATGGGCAACTGCAGACTGTGCTACATGTGACAACAGCAAATGTTTTGTGCTGTCATTCTTTCTGATGTGCCTCTATAAGAACAAGTCATGTTTCTTGTGGAGGGAGAGAACTGCAGTTTAGTCAACATGAGGAATACTGCCTGAGATGTGGATGTCTGCTAGCCATCTACTAAATCATGCTTCTTTGGGCCCTTTGGGTAGAGGCTTCTACCTTAGAAGTTCTCTGAAACTGTTACATTGTACAGTACTAACTTGTAGACGGAAAAATCAACTAACCAATTTAAAAAAAAAACAACCCTCATCCAGTTCCTTATTTTACAAATCTTTGTATAGTGATAAATATGAACAAATCTGAGTACTTGCTGCTTGGCTGGTTGTTACTAGAGAACATGTGTAACTAATCAATAGTTGTCCTAGATATCCTTCCCTAGATATGGGAATGTTTTGATGTTTGCCCACCATTTGCGTATTGGTATGTAAAACAATACCTAAAACACAGCTACTGATTGGAAGATTTGTTTTGTCACCTCACTACTGCCTTGCATCAGAGCCATACCTAGTGTAAGTAAAGTTCCTCTGTTAGGGACATTTATGTTGGAGCTATTTTAAAGATTTGTGCCTGGCACTGTGAATCCTACCCTAAAATACATACATCCAAAAAGCATCAAGCTGGTACCACAAAGAAAATGTTGTTGTGTTTTACAATAACTTCTTCATGTTTTTATCCTCAGGTGTGAAAACCTGCGTGTGTACAAACTGGGTCTCTTTTCAGGTCTTTGGTGGATGCTAGCACTTTTCTGCTGGATCAGTGACAAAGTGTTTTGTGAGATCTGGTCTTCATTTAACTTCCCTTATTTGCACTGTGTATGGTAAGTGTTGTATACAAACTCCACATTTTGATTCAAATGTGGTAACACCTTGACCACGTGATCCTTCAGTGCTGCATGGTGCTAATCCTGGTTAGTGCTAGATAGAATTACTGGTAAGATTATAAGCCCAAAGCAAGTCTCACATCCAAGGTGGGATGTTTAGAAGGCTCTCCGCCTGATCAGATTTTTCAGATGCTAAGTTGGTTAATTGCCTTGAATTCCTTGCTCTGCTGGCTACTAAAAATCCCATAGTGCTGCTCAGCTGAAGCAGCGACTGTGAAAACTTAATCTTCCAGTGTGAACAACTGAGGATGAAGTTAGGGACCAGTGAAGGGTTTTGATGCCGTTTCTCTTTTACTACCCAGCAATCTGTACTCTTTTATCCAGGGTGCCATATCTCAGCATTTCTACACAAATCTGTCTGGTGCAGAGACTAAAAAGCTGCAGCTAGTTTAGGTCAAGGCTAAGCTACAGTTTGTTGTTTTCCTTATTCTCTCCATTCTTTGCCTGTGTGCAAAGGGCAGACAGTAACCCTACAGGGGACTCAGGAGAAGAAGGTGAGGAACAGACTGATTTTAAATTATGGTGATATATTTGATTGCTTTACTGAAGTCACATTACTTATTTATCTTTCTTCTGTTTGTTTGTTTTTTTGGGGGGGTGCGTGTGGGTGTCTATTCTCAGGCACATTTTGATTTGCCTTGCGGCGTACCTGGGCTGTGTCTGCTTTGCTTACTTCGATGCTGCCTCTGAGATTCCTGAGCAGGGCCCTGTCATAAAGTTCTGGCCCAGTGAAAGATGGGCATTCATTGGGGTTCCTTACGTCACCCTCCTCTGTGCACAGAAGAAATCACCTGTGAAGATCACATGAAGTTTGCCATGGAACAGGGGTGGAGTTTCAACTTAATTCCAGCAGAGACAGTATTTACATAATAATAAATGAATAGGATTGTATTTTATCTTCTCCTTAAAATATGCAGCACTTCAGGTGCCATAGAAAGTGGAGACAAGTGTGTTTTCTTTCTCTGTAGAGGAGAGAGGAGCAAGAAGGTGGAGGCTCTTGAACACTGAAGTAACCACTGACTTCTCTGGGAGGCTCTGTTTTGCACTGTGTTGCACTATGTAGCATTTCACTTGATAAAAGCTCTTTCCTAATACCAGTGTCAATGAATGATATTTCTGTAGTAGGTCACCTCTGATGCTTAATTCACTTCTTTTGTAAATTATGGCTTAAGGCCTTCTTTGTAAAAAAGAAAGTCCAATATGCTGTTCTGTGTCCTCAACTCTGATTTTTATGTTGATTTCTCATGGCCACAAGAGTGTGCTCGAAGCACATGCTCCTCCCAGACCTGCTGGTTACCCGGGAGGCTGGATGTGCACCACATCAGATCACAGAGTGTATGGTTGTTTCCCCAGGTACAACAGGAGACCGATGCGATGCAAAGTGTTTGCAATTGGATAACTGGGTCAGTGCAGTAAGGCAGTGTAAATGCAGGAGCAGCAGACAGAAGATTAAGACTCTAAAACTAAATAGGGGTTCAAGGGGGTTTTATTTTTCTGTGTTTCCACTGTCCTGTGGATATTTGTATGCTGCATATTTCCCTCTTACAGAAATGTTGCAGGAATCCCTCACTACCTCTGCAGTCATGTTTAGTCTTGAATTTGACCATGAAGCTCACACAGAAGTGTGAACATTAACTTCAGTACGCCCTCAGGTCAGCATAGGTTGACAGCATGATTAAACTATAAAATTCATAGGTACTTGCCTGTACATCTAATTTGAGAGTTAGCTTCTCACCAGTGCATTGCAAAGTGATGTGAACAATAATCCAGTGCTCTGCTAGTTGCACTTTGGAAAAAAAAAAAGTAGGTTAAGTGCTTAAAAACCAAGCTGAAGACTTAGATTTTGGTGAGCAACAAAAGGTATCATTGAGTCTTACACTCTTACAAAAGAATAGTAGATTCAGATTTTCTGTTTGTGTTCAGCCTGTTTTGTAAAGATAAGGGATGGCTAGATCCAGTTAGTTTTAAGGTTGTACATTAGTGTTGAGGTTCAGGAATGTCTGTGATTCTTTCAAGCAATTTATGTAAGGTCTTTTTTCAAAATTATGCAAAGTGCAGGCATGTTTTTAAAATATTAGCAATTGTAGCTGCTAATAGCTGCAGTGTTGGAGGCAATGGGCTCTGCTTACATTCCACCTAACAGCAGAAGTAAGCTGGTTAAGGCTTTGGATGTACATTTTTATTAATAGATGATCTTTGCTTTTTGATTATTAGACCAGGAGATACCATTTACTCTGTGCTTTGCTTAGAAGTTTCATATTGTACTTGATTTTTATCAATGTGAGGGTGTACTCTATACAGTATCATCTTTAGGAAAGTGGTTTTTAACAAGACCTTTCGGGTGAATTAACATTCAAGCATTGTCATACCTTTCAGATAACTTTTGTATTCAAATTTATGCTAAGAAAACGAGCTAAGGTATATGCTGTTCACTTAAAGCAAAGATTTTACTGGGAGGTATGACTGTCTTCTTGAGAACTTTTAAGTGGGTAAGTAGCCTACTGTCAAATTGACTAACAGATCATAAAAGCAGCAAAGTCTGTCCAGTGGAGTAATGAAAATTTATAATACTTGCTAATAGGTCTGTCTGAGAGGAACGTGGTTTTTGAACGCATGATCATACGGTTTTTATATGAAAATTGTTTGTAAAAATTCATACAATGATGTTTGAAACACAGCTGCTTTTTTTTCTTTTTTTCCCCCCTTCTTCTCTCCCTAATTATGAAATGCTTAGTTTCAAACACTTCTCAGGTATTGGAAGTTTTATTATTAGATCCTTAGACAGACAGGCTTGCTGGCTGGAACCCAGCTAAGATGGCTGATGCCTGACATAGCCGTACTTTGAGTAAGACTTTTTATATTGTTTGCTAAATTATTCTGTTATGGTAAATAAGTTATTTTCATTATTGCTTGGGAAATTAGTAACTGCAGATACAGGGTGCTGTTTAAAATGTAAGTAGCCTTCCTACTTAATATTTTGTTTGTAAGCATCCTCTCAGACTGAAAGGGCTCTAATCAAACTGCTGTTGTCTGCTGTGCAGAGACTGACTGCTCTTAAAAAAGTAATTTTATAATTTAAAAAATGGCAGTAGTGGCATCCAGCTGTTGCAGAGCTGAGTGAATGCATGTAAAGCCAAGAATTATCTCCTGAATTTTTATTAACTAACCTGTAGTCTTCATATTCTTCATAGGAGATTTGGTGAACTATGATAAGTATCTGATATTGGAAGCTTCACTGTAGAAATGTTTGGCATTACACTACTGTAACAGAAGCCCACTACTCTCACGTGTACCTACTACACGTTACATTAAATTAATATTAATTCATATGTTCTGGGAAAAGCTACATTTATTTAAAAAAAAAGAAAAAAACATGCACTTTTTATCAAATTTGCAGCTTTGCAGTTTTCATTTTAGACTAAGGCTCTGTTTCACAGTAACATTAGTACCTGAAGAAGTATGTGATTGGCAGATAGAGGGGTTTGTGCACAGCCCTGATCATACAGATGAACAGACGTGCACAAATAACCATATTATGTTGGAATATAAAGTGACATATATGCACCTTCAGGTTTTAAAGTTCCAGAATGCTTTATTCCCTTGCTCACAGGAAGTGACTGGGTTCCTAGTCCTTAGGTTCAAAAAGTATTTTAGTTTTATTAGTGGGATGCAAATGTGTGTTAGGTGTAATGTAGATTCTGTATATTGACAAGTGCTATCTATCATTCCTCAAATGTTAAGCTTTAGTTTATTTAAGAGGGGATGTTTAATTCTCAGTAATGACAAACACTTGCCCAAATAATAGTCACTAAAAACTCAATGAACAGTACATAAGGAGTGGTGTTGGGGTTGTTTTGTTTTTTTCCATCTCTGTTGAAGTCTGTATGTCAGTCTATACTGAATGTTTCTGGAAAGCATGTAATACTTTGAAACATTAAATTACATTTGCAAAAAATACTGTTTGCCTTCGCATACTTTGTGTTTGTGGAGAAGAGTGCAGCTTCCAATATAATGCCTTGCAGCAGCACAGTCTATATTAAAGTAAGTTTTCCCACACACAGGTTACAGCAGTTCTGACTCTTAGATGAGGAGGGAGGTTACATTAGAGAGAAAGCCATTAATTCATGAGGTAGAGACTATGTTCCTGATTTTTTGCAAGTAAAGCAAATATTTGGAAAACTGCAAGCCCACGAATCGACAGAGACGTGTAGGAAGAAACAGCTAAAAATAAATGGCCTGTATTTCCACAAATCCAGAAAACTGGGTCAGACTGAGTATGTCTGGGAGTACAAAGTGTGAATCTCTAGCAGGGAGATAATGGCTGTATACTAGCCCTCCCCTCCTACTTCCCTTTTACCACAGTTCCTCACAATTCCATATGAAAGACCTTCTTTGAGACCCTTGTGGATTCCCATACACCGGATGTGATCGGGCATGAAATAACTGTTGTGTGAAGGCACAGCTATAATTCAATAATATTACTCAGAGGTAATGTCTGTAGTTGGCAAGATGTCAAAAAAAGCTGGTGGATTGGCTCATACATCATCCTGTCACTAGCCTGCTGTCCCTGGAGATTATTCAGATTTTTCCCATGGAAGCAAGGGGAACATCATCCTACCACTACATTTTTCTGAAAGCTTCAGAGCTCCTGGCTTATTTTGATCAAATCTGAGAAAGGCAGGAACCTTAGAGTTAATTTTCTACAAGCAGTGCAAGACAGATGGTGAGGTAGAGAAGCCAGGCTGATAAAAGATGTCTCAAGAACTGTTGTGTAAAAATAACAAGAACTTACCCAGGAAGGAAAGCAAAGCAGTGCTGAAATTCTGGTTGGGCTTTGATTGTCGTTCATACCAGCTACACCATCAGGGACCAGTCACACACAGAAGGAATTTCACAGGCTTCATTTCCAAAGAGTGAGGAATCATTTGTATGTATCACACACAGACCTGCTTTTTTTCTCCCAACTTACGAGGGAGAAACTTCCCAAAGGAGGGCAACTGGAAAACCCATATAACCATACACCCATCTGGCTGTCAGTTAAACGCAGTGCAAGCTGAGAAAGACTGAAGTTTGAAAGAGGTGACTTCTGCACTCACAAATTCAGGAACCACAAAACCTGTTTGGAAACTCCCAGCATATAAGGAGGAGGTGAGCAGGAGTTTGTCAAGAGCAAATAATGTCTACCTAATTTTGTTTTCTTCTACAATGGGGTATTTCCTGTCCCTGTGGCTATGGAAGAAGCAGTATAGAGTTAGATTTTGACACTTAGAAGATTCCTAGCACTGCCTGACAGGACATTATTATAAAATTGCTGGAAATCCTGGGATTTCCCCTGCAAAACTGGAAAATTCTGTGGATTAGTGTGAGATTGTTTGGATGGCTGCTTCTGGGCTGTGCTGGGTGGTCCATTATAAAACCAGAAGATGTCAGTGGAGGTCAGCAGGGAGTCTCTCTTGATCACCTGTTTAAGTGTTCTGCAGTGTCCACATGAAACTTCTGCCACCTCTGTGAATGGCAGTGAAGAGGCTAGATCAGGCGAAGGTTGGGAAGATTGTAACTTCTGAATGAAGCCATCAAAAAACCCCAGAAAAAACCCAAAGCAAAACAAAAAACATGGCAGAAGGAACTCATTAAATGAGTTATGCCTATTAAATCTTCCTGTAAAAACAGATAGATGCAGTCACAACATGACTTCTACGAATGTACTTCTATAATCTGAACAAGTGTTGGTCCAGGAAAAGGTTTGACATAATGGCACCTGTCTTTTAAGTCCCATTATGGTATCTGAAGTAAAAAACAAGATGTAAAGTGATGTAAAAGAGTAGATTAATTCAAAGCTTGGACTGAGGCAGTCCCTTTTAGAAAATGGAATGTTTTGTCTTGGTTTCTGTAAAGTCTTTGCTGTTACTACTGCCACTGGAAGAATGAAATGTTAAATGCACGAGTAGGATCATAACACACCCTGACCTGCTCTTTGCCCCTCAGTCTATGTATGCTCTGGATTTAATACTTCTGATTTTTTTCAGAAATCTGTAGCATTGTAACTTGTGATGTTAGTACACTGTGCCCCAAGCTCTCCATCTCCAAATGCCCTAACCTATGGTTTTCCTGG